ACTGCAGATACTTTAATAATAAAGGGAAAACCCCGACCAATGAGGTCATTCTATAAACCGTAAAAAAAAAAAAAAAAAAAAAAATTGAAATTGTTTATATCTTTCATATCTTCAAAGTTGATTTTTATTTATATAAGCATTTGCTTTGTAGTATTGGTGAAGTTGATACAGTCAGACCCTCTAAATGCATCCCCTAAATGCATACCTCCATAAATGTATATTAATTATCTGGCCTATTGATGGGCTTAATAAATAAATGTATATTTTTTATTCTGCAAATGTATATTATTTTTTTGGCCCGCTTATATAGGTTCCCTCCATAAATGCATAACACATGATCATCCACCTAAAAGAGACAATCAAAATCAGTAACATGCTATTAAGGATAAGAGAGCAAATTTTTTTATTTATTATAAGGAACAGAACTCGAAGTTCTAACAACTTGACAATAAATAAAGAGTAGTCATATCTTTATATACGAACAACTCGAATACTTTATTGAATAAATCATATACATACAATTCTCTAAAGAGTAATCGTGTCTTCATACACAGATCGCTCTAAATAAGTTATAGATCGGTTATAGTGTCTTCATACACGTATAACTCGAGGATCATATAGAATAAATAATAAACTTGTTTATACACTACTTGTATATCCATATACATTTAGCCATTTTTCTCTTTCATAATAGCAAATCACATAATCCTCTTAAAAGCATAACTGCAAATAACCCTATACGTTACTTAACATAAATCGGAATTTGATTATTAATTGCCTAATATACCTGTCGCTATAATAAACCGTTATACTGAAACCTATAAGAGGTAGTTTTGGGTGTAATAATACTGTAAACTGTTGACTTTTATATCTGGGTATTTACAAAGACTAGAAATATACCCACTATACATTTCTCATTCAATATTGCCAGACTTCAATGTTTCATACCAGCCAGATATCTTTCAAAATATAAAGATGCTATTCTTTGAGATATAATATGAATAGCCTCCAGATATAAATCAAATTTTTATTCACAGAATACCCCAGGCACAACTCATAGAGGGTATACGAATTGGCAGTTTACGTATTTGGGTCAATTCTTATCTAAAGTCTAAATTAAATTCTAGGCTGATATAATCGATTTGGATTTTGATTCTCAGAGTGTAAAAATGAAAATTTAAGACCAATAAAATGAAAATCGTAACTCTTAATAGTCCAAATTGTCCAAAAAAAAGCCAATTATCAAACCTAAATCATAATACAGTGTCATATGATATCATACAAATAAGATGTAAAGTAGATGCGATAAGCTAAAAAAGTCTAACCACAGAACTAAAAAGGTGCATGTAACATTGAATTGAAGCAGGGACTCAGAAAATTTTAGATTTCATTTATGCAAATTCCAAATCTATCAATAAAATTCAAGATTTTTCAGGTTCCTGAATTGAAAACAATAGAGATGTGTACATACGTATTATGTGTATTTATACTTATGCATCTATATATGAGTACTCGAAAGAGAAAATTAGTAGATAAAATTTATTCTTTGCAGGGAATAAATTTTTACTTACTGATTTTCTCTTTCGAGCATTCATATCATATCGTATATTTAGTCACAGATCAAGTTTTTTTCATCATCCTAAGAATACTTAAAACTTGATTAACATTTAATAAAAAAAGGTTTACATTGTATTTGAAATAAGCAAGTGATGTATACCCATCTTCTTTTCTAAAATCTGGTGTTTGAATAATTGATCAAATAATTTTTCCATACTAATTGCTATACGATAGTTGTTCACTATAAGAATTTTAACCCAAGTTAGTTAGTTCTCATGTATAAGTTGTGTAAACAATGCAGTTTTTCTAATTTAAGCTGCAATTTTTAAGATAAATGATAGGTACAAATTAGTACTTGATATGAACATTATTATTCAAATTGCATATGGGTGAGAATATAGAAATCTATACTTAGAGTATATGCAATACATATACTCTAAACATGATTTTGCTATGCACTCATTCATATGATTTTAGTAAAATAAAATAAATTATATGTAAATTACAAAGCTCTTTTGTCTTTACACATTACATAACACAATGGCCTACATAGTATTGTTGTAAAATATTGAATTAGATTGTTCTAAAAGAATTGAATGAATAGTCTGTTGGATTATAAAAACCAAGAAAAATACACTTACTCGACTTATTAAGCTTTATAATTTATTCATTGAAAGAGAGAGTTGCCCTTTATCTATAAATTAAATAAACTTTGCTTTGAAATTATCCATATTATATTAATAAAAATGTCTTCTACAAAGTATAAAGAAAGTAAAACAACTCTTACCAATAAACAGATAAAGGCTATCATCACGCATAAAGAAAAAAACCCTCAACTTAGTCAAGCTAACCTTGTCGATTAGATAAAACAAACAATGGGTCTTGATGTTCATCAAAGCACTATTAGCCGTTTAATTAAAAATAAAGAAGCAATTGGAGACAACCTCTCTGCAAAAAGACAGAGAATAGTTCAACAACTAGCACTTGAAGATATACTGTATGAATGGATTTTACAAACTCAAGAAAGTATAATATTATCTGACAACATTATAATAGAAAAGCAAAATAGTTCACAGGATTGATAAATATACCTGAAGGCGATTTAAAGTTTTTGCATGGTTGGTTATACAAGTTCAAAAGAAGACACGGTTTAAGACAAATAAAAAACATGAAGTAGATGCTTCTGTAGATGACGATATTGTTAATGCTGCTATTCCTCAGTTAAAAGAAATTTTAAAAGGATATGATCTAAAAGATATTTATAATATAGATGAGACCGGCTTATTTTATCAGTATTAAATAAATCATACTATGTTAATTAATATTACCTTAATTTTTTTTTATTTGGTTTTTTTTTTTTTTCTTATTCGTGGTTCTTTTTTTTCTTTTATTCGGTTTTTTTTTTTTTTCTTATTTGTTTTTTTTTTCTTTTTTTTCTTATTCGGTTCTTTTCTTTCTCTTTCAAGTCTAGAGCCAGATACCATGCTAGCAACTATTCATCTCAAAGAAAAAAAAAATAAATAAAAAATGGTTAACCTTGGCATTTTGTGCCAATGCTGATAGGACAGATAAAATAAGACCATTTGTTATTGGTAAGGTGCCTAACCCACATTGTTTCAAAAATGTTAAATGTCATAGTCTTGGTGTTATGTATGATTCTAGTCAAAATGCATGAATGACAAGTGTGTTATATCAAAAATAGCTTAAAAAATTTGATTTGAAGATGGCTGGTTGCAAAGTACTTCTCCAATTGATGATGCATGATATCACTCTTCTAGAAAAGTAAAGCTTTATAACACAATGATTCACACCCTTCCCCCAAATACAACAGCTCATATACAACCTATAGATGCTAGCATAATTATATCTTTCAAGCATCAATACCAAAGTTACTTTATAAAATAGCTGCTCGATCAGTATGAAGCCAGAAGTGATGATAAAGTTAATATTCTTATTGCTATACAATTTATCATTAGAGCCTGGAGAGAAGTATCCTGAGAAACAATAAAAAATTGCTTTCAACACACAAAAATTCTTCCAGTTCAAGATAATAAAGAACCTAGCCTTAATGATAATAATGATGATAACGACGATTATGATGATAGTGATGATGATTTAATAGAAGAATTGTATAATAACATAGAGATGCTAGGATCCCGAGCAATCTATATACAGCTAAGATTTTTAAAAAATCTTAACAAATTACTAAAAAAGTAAAAGATCTGCATAAAAATAGTTAAAAATAAGTATATATATTACTAAAAATAGTAATGATCTGCAAAAAATAGTCAAAAATAAGCAAAAATAAATTCTAACCTATCTATATATAGCTCGGGGTCCTGAGATGCTTAATTTTCAAAATGTAATAAACCTTGAAAAATGTATTAATTATTCAGAAGAAAACAATATAACCGGAATACTTAGCGATCAGAAAATTTTAGACCAAGTCACATGCCCAGAACCCGAACCCGGAATAGCTGAATACAATGAGGAAGATAATAGTATTAAAATTTCTCAAGTTACTCACAAGAAGCATTAGATGCTATACATTTGATAGAGTTATACCTTATACAACAAGACCTTAGTGATGAGGCTCAGATAGAACATGACTCTGCTTTGTTGAAATTGTCTAAATCAGTAAAGAAATTTTGGAATGCTTTATTTAAACAATTAAATATAGAAGATTTTTTTGTGCTGACTATGTAATGTATGTATATACATAAGATATTTTTGTGTATAAGACCATTGAAATTGAAACTTTGTTTAACATTTCTATCTTCACGAAGCTTCTTAAAATATTGAAAACAATAAATAATTTAGTAAAAAAAAAGAAGAAAAAAAAAATTTATATCTCTTTGTCAAATTTATGTTTGAATTTTCTAACTTGAATCTATTTTAAGTCTCGGCTAGTTTTTTTTTCCCAAGAAATATGTTTTAAAGTTAAATTATATTAGCTTAAATTGATAGAGTTAACAATGAAATCTTTTAAAAGAAATACATATTTGAAATAAAGTTGGATCTTAGCTTCATTTCTTAAATATTCTGATATAATAGTATGATTAAAGTGTAGATTATACTATTTTCTGCTTAGTATAGTAATGTATTATGATGTAAAGACAGTATTAGTTACATCATATGCAAGTTAACAAAAGCGTAATTTCACAAGAGAAGTTTTTTTTTAAATAACTTGTGGCCAAAAATTTCTAAGATCTTTGATCTTTGATAACAAGCAAGTAAAGTTTGTGCTTGTATAGTGGCGATTAGGGCTGTTAAAAGTCTGAACCTTTTAGTTCAGACTTCATAAATAGGAACTTCGACTAGAACTGTCCTTGAGTCAAGTTCTTATATGTAATAGACCAATAGATTAGCGAAAGGTTTAACTTATTATTGGCTAATAACTATGTCATATGATATGAATATGCTATAACACTATTGGCCATTCTCTAAATGCAACCCTCTCTAAATGCATGCCCTGGTGCTGGTCCTGACGATATGCACTTAGGGGGTCTGACTATAGTTCCTTTTCAAAAAGGTACTGTATTTAAATAATTTATTATTAATATAATTATTATATATTATTTACAAATATTTTTATGCAGGTTCAGAAAAATAGTACTTATCCAATTAATGAAATAAATAAGAATGAAGTTTATAATATTTTTAATTTTCAAGACTTAAATATTTTATTTTACTATAATTTACTTAAAACCAATAAAGAAACCTTTTTACTTGAAAGTGATAATAAAAAAGAAACTTTAGATAATATTTTAAATTATTTATTTGATATTTTTAATCAGGTAAAACATATTATATTTAAAAATATTTTAAAAATTATTAATTTATTATTATTTTTATTAGAACAAAGCACTTTTTACTTTATTACAAAATAAACAAAATGCTAATATTTGGTTAAACTTAGTTTATTCAAATTTTAGACCATTAGAAAATATAGTTAAAAACATTAACAAACTTAAAAATTATGAAACCAATTTTGAAAAAATCTAAATAAAAATACAATGTATTAGAATTTATATATTTTATTTTTACTATATATACAAATATATATTTTATAATATATATATATATTTATGCTTAATATAATATTTACTAAATATAAATATATTGTATTCAAATTAGAACTATAAAAAATTAAATTTTTATTAAATACTAATGCTAAAGATAAATATAAAATTTACTAAATTTGAAAATTATAAGAAATCTAAATTTGGAAGTTATCAAAAATTAAATTTATTATATAACTATAATATTAGTAACAATTTTTTATAAACAATGCTAGGGTTGTTTTAGCAATTCTATTTGCAATTTGTATAAGTTTACATCAAGAAATTTTGTAAATATCTTTATATTGTTTTTTTAAATATATTTGTGAAGTTCTACTATCTGCTAGTTGCAATACTAATATAAAACTATAGAATAATAAATCTAAATTATATTTAGATAAAG